GCAGCGCCGGTCGCCCCGGCCCCTCACCTGGTCCAGGCTGGTCTGCTGGCAGGGGAAGGAGAAGGTGAAGCCGAGCGGCAGCGTGTGGCCCATCATGCCCTGCTTGGTCTGGAAGTCCACGATGCACTCAACAATGTGGTCAAAGAGCTGCAGAGATTGGGGGGGGTCAGTGGGGGCTGCAGCCTGCCCAGGGCACTGGCACCCACCTGGGGGCACCAGGCGCTGGGGTCACAGCCCCGAGCCAGGCCCTGCGTAGGGGCTGGGAAGTGAGAGGTGGTGCCCACCCCAGGCAGCCCCAGCCCACCCAGCAGCAGGGGCAGCATTTCCAGCCCCCCCGGAGTGGGAGGGAAGCCCGCGGTACCTGGGTGCCGGGGCCCTGGGCCACGTTCGGCGGGATGGAGTACACCTCGCTGAGGATCTGCACGCCGCCCTGCTCCCGGCTGTGCACCTTCACCAGCAGCACCCGGAAGTTGGTCCCTCCCAGGTCCAGCGCCAAGAAGTCGCCTCTCTCTGCAAAGGGCACGGGGGGGGGGGGGTCAGAGCCAGGCACCAGCTCCTGCTCCGGGCACCCAGCACACCCCCCGCCCCATGCCTAGCCCTGCAGGGCCCCACCCCATGGGCTCCGCCCTTCACCCCCAGCCCTTCCCGCGCCCACGGAGGGAGGCCACAGACTGACCAGGCCCAGGTGTTCCCATCTTCTCGCAGGGACCCCCAGACTGGGATGAAGCACTGGGAGGCAGCGGGGAGGGGGGTCCCCCAAGGCAGGAATGACCTCACACAGCCTCCCCCAGCCAGCGCCCCCCGCAGAGCCCGAGCCTGCCGGCCCCTCACCCGAGCCGTCGGGCGTGGCACAGATGTAGGTGGGCAGCATGCGGACGGAGGACATAGCGTGTGTCTCCTTCTTCAGCCCCAGCTCCATCTCCCGTCTCAGCAAGGCCTGCACCTTGCCCAGGGCATCGGGCGAGAGCTGCAGCAGTGCCAGGGTTTGGTTCACCTGGAGGCGCTGGGCTGCCAGCCTAGATGCCACTGCAGCCACCATGGCAATCCCCTTGCCGCTGCCATCGTCCGACTGCACCAAGGTGACCTCGCACTCGGGAGCCAGCGGCTTCACCAGCTGCTGCAGCGTCTCGCTGAACCTGGGGACCAAGGGAGAGCCTGGCACGGGGCTGGCAGGACTGGCTGAGCAGCCAGCTCCCCATGGGCCCGCCCTGACCCCCAGCAGCCGAGGGGCAGCCAGGCCCCCAGCCAGCTAGAGCGTAGCCACCACCGGGGGTGCTGGGCCCACAGCTCCCTCCTGTTGCCATGGGGCCCAGCTGGGGCCACGGAGCCCAGGGCACGGCACCAGCCCCACTACCCCATTCCCCACAGCTCCGCCCCTCGGAGGGGCAGCTGGCACACCTGGGAGCAGGCCCCATGTTCCCTGGTGCCTGGCACCGTCCTGGGGGCCCTTACTTGCCACGGGCCCGGAACACGGCTCCGTCCACGGCCACGCTGGTCTTCAGGCACGGCAGCTCCCGGTTCCTGCACATGTGGCTGAGGATGGCGGCCAGGCCGGCGGCGCACAGGCCGGCGGCGCGAAGGCAGACGGCGCTGCACACCTGCTGCATACTGAAGCAGTCCTGGTCGCTCGCCTCCAGCCCCAGCGCCCGCAGGACACGCTGCGCCGTGGCCAGTCCCACCTGCTCGCTGCAAAGGAGAGCACAGGCAGAGCCCTGCCATCAGCCTCCAGGCCTGACACGTGTGGGGAGAGACTCCAGGCCTGGCACCCCTGGGGCACGGGGAGGGCACAGGGGTCACAGACTTCCATCCGGCTGTGTGCCTAGCACCCCTAGGGTGCAGGGAGGGCACAGGGGCAGAGCCCTGACACTGGGGCGTGGGGATGGGGGCACTTGCTCTCCACACCACAGGTGGGTTCGTGTGTCACTCAGTCACAAGTGGAATGAGGTTGCAGGTCTCAGCAGTTATTGGCTGCCAGGCCTGGCCAGCAGGGGGTGCTGCTGTATACCCCAGGCCTCCGGGACCCACTTACTCTGTGATCTCCAGGATGTCCTGGGTCTGGACCAACCCCTTGGTCAGGAGGGCAGGAGTCGTGTGACCGCTGAAGAGCTCGACCAGAATGTGCCGGACGATTTCGCCCAAGTACAAGCCACCGATCATCTTCTCGAACCTGAGCGGGGGCGAAGGGGTGTGAGCAGCGCACTGGGCAGGCGGGGCCACCGGGCCACCACTCCCTGGGCATGGCCACCACCCAGCCCAGCCCTGGGCACGGGTGGCCGTGGGGCTGGGGCTGGCACCCCTGGAGAGCCCTGGGCACGGGAGGCCATAGGGCTGGGGCCCCGCACCCCCGGAGAGCCCTGGGCACGGGCGGCCATAGGGCTGGGGCCCCGCACCCCCGGAGACCCCTGGGCACGGGCGGTCCGGCTCAGGCGCTGGGGAGCAGGTGCCACCGACGGGGAATCAGAGGTAGCCAATGCTCCGTGCCCCTCCCCTGCCAGGGATGCCCCCGGCCCCCCGCCCCCGACCCTACCTCTGCTTCCCTGGGTTCAGGGAGCCCTGGTCCACCTGGTGGTCATAGGGGCTCAGTACGTCGTTCAAGGCGCCGTTGTCCCCAAAGGAGCCCCATTCGGTGACCACGCCCATCCGGCCGTCGCTCTCCTCCACCACCTCCACGTGCCGCGCCTCCGCCATGAAGCAGCTGTTGGTGCCAGCGTCTGCCAGGTACAGGAGAGCAGTGAGGGTGCTGGGACGCCTGGCCAGTCTGTGCCCGGCAATGCCGGAGCCACCCCCGCCCCACGCCTCCCCAGCGCCCTGGCCCCGTCTGGCTCTGCCAGCCTCCCGGGGCGTCCCGGCCGGGGCGGGGCCCACTCACCGACAACCAGGCCGACCTCGCACGGCCCTGCACTGGCATCGCAGCTCATCATGGTGCCCGTGGTGTCGTTCACCACAGCGATGACCTTGATATGGTAGCGCTGGCCAGGCAGAGAGAGAGGGCACGATCAGCAGCCACCACCCTAACCCGTCCATGGAGCCCCCGCCCCGCACTGCCCCACCCCCCCCCAGGGGGCCCCCCCCCCCCCCCCCCCCCCCCCCGGGTTCCTCCCTCTTACAGCTTGCTTGTTGATGGCACTTTGCAGTAACTCCACCACGTCTCTCCCCTCCACGCCGGGGCATTTGAAGCCTTTTGTCCAGGAGATCAGGTAGCCCTGCCGGGAAACAGCCCAGACCCTGTGGTCAGCCAGCCCTGCCCAATGCCCCGCAGCGCCCCCTGCTGGGAGCCCCCGGCCAACGCACCCGGCCAACCCCCCTACAGCGCCCCCTGCAGGGAGCACCCGGCCAACGCACCCAGCCAACCCCCCTACAGCGCCCCCTGCAGGGAGCCCCCAGTGCTCCCAGCCAACTCCCCTTCAGCGCCCCCTGCTGGGAGCCCCCAACCAAAGCGCCTGGCCAACCCCCCTACAGCGCCCCCTGGAGGCCCGGAGCGATGCGCTCACCTGGTCCAGCCGTGTCTGCCTGCAGCTGAAGGGGAAGGAGAAGCCCAGCTCGAAGTCCGTCTGGCGCGTGCGGAGCCCGTCCAGGAACTCACACAGGCATGTCGCCATGAAGGCAAAGAGCTGGGGAGCAAGGCTGGGAATTAGCAGGGCAGAGGTTGCCCCTCGCCCGGAGCCAAGCCTGCCCCCCTGCCAGCTCCAGGCTCTGCTGTGCTGGCGCAGCGCTCACAGCGCCCCCCCAGCCCCAGGCTGCCCAGCTCCCGGCGCACCCTCTGCCTGGCGCAGTCCCACCTCCTGCTCCGCCAGTTGCCAGGTGGGTCACCCCTTGTCCAGCAGGAGCGAGGGTGCCCTGCCCCTGTACCTTCTCGCCAGGGCCCTGCACGATTGCGTCTGACAGAGGAAAGTGCCGGTCCTTCACCGTCACCTTCTGGCACGTGTCCCCCGACAGCTCCATCAGCAGCACCCGCAAATCGGTGTCTCCTAGCTCCAGCACCAGGAATTCGCCTCTCTCTGCCCGACAAGCAGACGTGGTGTCAGGGCCTGGGTGCCCCAGCCCGGCATACAGGGGGGCACCCCCAGAACGCAGGTACTCTGCGCCCTGCCTGGCTTCTGCAGGAGCCGCTCATGCCCGGCAGATCCAGGGACCCAGTCGCTCAGCGGTACCATCCCTGACGGGCTCCAATCACCAGCTTGTGCAGCCGCGTCCCCCCCACAGCTGGCACTGCACCCCTCGCTGGCTCACTGGCCAGTCTGCAATGCTGGGCTCGCAGGTCCCCAGGGCAGGCCTGACGCCAGGTGCAGCATGGTCAGTAACGGGGACAAAGGTGCCCGTGGGCCTGCGAGCCCCATGCCGGCTGCACATGATGGGCTGGGCCCTGCCTCTGGGCTGCAGCACCAAGCCCCTGTTCTTAGTGTGGGGCCCAGCCACAGCCCAGCAGGGATGGGGGGTGCTGACACCCAAGCTCCAGAGCACCCCAGAGCACTGGCCCTGGAGGGGGAACCTGGGGCAGGTACCAGGAGGGGCCCCAGCCCCGGGCACCCACAGCCTGTCCCTTACCGGTGCCGTCCGGGGTGGCGCGGATGAAGGTGGGCAGCATGCGCACTGTGGCTTGGGTGTGCGTCCGGTGGCTCAGGCCTCGCTCCATGGCCTCCAACATGCGGTCCTTAACCCGACGGAGCGTCTCCAGCGACAGGCACAGGGGCTGTAGGGAGCTTTGCATCTGGGAGAGGAGGCAGGGCCGGTCAGGGAGCGCCCCCAGCAGAGCGCGCTGGCAGCAGGGGGCAGCGAGTGGGGGTTTACCTGCGCGGTGAGGTGTCGGCTCTGGGCCTGGGGGCTGCCGCTCTTGCTGACGCCAGCCAGTCCGAGGCCAGGGCACGTGGGGCTCAGCTGGCTCGGGGGGGGCTTCCCCACCAAGGGCTTCTCCTGGCCGGAACTCATCTGGGGCCTGCAGGGGCAGAGAGCAGGGTCAGTTCCCTGTGCCAAGGGGCAGCTGCAGAGCCAGCCTATGGCCCCCCAACCCCCGCCATGCTCTGGGAGGAGCAGGCATCTCATTGGGTGCACCGGGCCCCAGGGTGGGCGAGCGCCCTGCCCTCGAGCCCAGAGCCCCTCCACAATCAGGGGGCCACGGGGGCTCCCCAGCTGCCAGCCTTGCCAGGGCACTGGCACTTCCCAGCGGCAGGAGGCAGAGCCAGCCCCTGCCAGCGCCCCCAGAGCTCAGCAGCTGCAATAATTCATGTGGAGTGTCCCCAGCATGATCCCCCCACCTCACCCCAGTGCCTCACCCCCGGCAGGGTGCGAATCCTCAGCTCACCCCTGTGAGCGCAGAGAGCGACGGAGCCCTGAGCACCGATTAATCACAGAGCAGAAAGCCTGGCACACGCCCAGCCCCAGCCCGGCACATGCCCAGCCTCAAAACATGCCCAGCCCCAGCCTCCAATGCCCAGCCCGGCACACGCCCAGCCCCAGCCTGGCACACGCCCAGCCCCAGCCTGGCACACGCCCAGCCCCGGCACATGCCCAGCCTGGCACACGCCCAGCCTCAAAACATGCCCAGCCGCGGCCTGCACTGCCCAGCTTGGCACATATCCAGCCCGGCACAGGCCCAGCCCCAGCAGCTGCACAACCACACATCAAGGGTGCTGTGACAGAGTGGGAATTTTTCATACTATTTTGGATGAATAGTGTGTGTGCCTCAGTTTCCTTGACGTGGTCCATGGGTAACTAGGTGAGGGGACAGGGCTGTTTGCTCTTTGCAGAAGCCCAGCAATACAGGCATGGCCAACACCTGGCTGCCTGGGCCCCATGCCCATGGCAAGACCCAGAAGACACTGGCCTCTCCAATTCCTGGACTTTTGGCACCTAGCAACACCAAACCGTGGCTGGCCCCCTCCTTGGGAAGCCAGCCGGGTGGGACCAGCTGGAGGACAGAGGACTGAGGTGGGGCTGCTGGAGGCAGGGGAGAAGCGTCTGGCCGTCAGAGGGCTCCGGGCTCTGCACTGCCCCGGATGGACCAGGCTGATGCTTTCTGTCTCTGCTGTGTCCAGACACCTCCTAACCCTCCTGCTGTCCCAGGCAGGCGGCGAGTCACTCCAGGGTCAGGCAGCCGGGGGTGTATGGCTCCCTCAGGCGTCCAACCCAGGTGCACTCACTGCAGGGAGCTCATGGCGTGCCCTGGGGTGCTGAGGGCTCTGGGGGTCAGTCCCAGGAGGCAGGGAAGCCGAGGGGCTGAGCCCAGCGAGAGGGTGACCCTACAGAGGAGTGGCTTGTTTTCTCAGTGGGGTGCATGCAGTGTCTGGGGGACTCAGTTTCCCTGGGTGCTGCACATGGAACGCAGTGGGGGATGGGGTTTGTTGTTGCAGAGGACCAGGTGTGACCTCGCCTACCAGCCAGGACCCCGGACAATGGCCTGGAGATTGGGTGCCCTAGCAACAGGTGACCGGGAGGCCCAGCCCAGCTTGGACGTCAGCCGGTTCTGGCCAGTGGTTGGGTCCAGCTAGTGGGAACAAAGGACGGAAGAAGCAGGGCCCAGGTGACCTGTTTGCCTGGGACGGA